GTCATGTGGCCAGCATGACTAAGCCGCTTCTGGCGAACCAGAATAGCGCACGGAAACACCATTTACCTTCACGCCAGAGTGGTACCTATTTATCTACTTGCACTTTGATGTGCTTTCGAACTGCTAGGTTGGCGGAGCAGGGACTGAGCAACAGGAGCTCACCCCATCGCGAGGATTCGAACCAACGACCTTCTGATCGGCAAGCCCTAGGCTCTGTGGTTTAGACCACAGCGCCACCCGCGAAGTAGTTCTTATAATAACCAGTTGATATAGAAACAGTTTAGGGGCAGGAGGTGCCTGACAGAGATGGTCTTTCAGCAAAACTGATGGAATGAGCCCTTGCAGGCTTACAATTTAAATGACACAGCACACAAGGAAGAAAGGAGGAAGGGAGGAAGAAGGAAAAAAACAATCTCAGGTGCTGATTCCAGAAGAGTAGTTCTCATAACAACCAACTGGCATAGAAACGGTTCATGGGGTAGGAGGCCCCTGACGGAACTGGTCTTTTGGCAAAGCTGGTGGAAATGAACCCTGCTTCTGGCTCCCTGCATGGAGGCAGCCAGATGGAAGGGATGCTACAGACTGACTATTTCTTTGCATTTATTTATTGCATTTCTATTCCATCTTATTTCCTCCAAGGAGCTTCTCCCCCTCATCATTTAATCCCCACAATGACCCTGTGAGGTAGGGCTAGGCTGAGAGGCAGCAGCCGGCCCAAGGTCACCCAAGAGCTTCATTCTCCAAGCGAAGGAAACTCCCAAGAAAGCAAAGGGCGTGTCCGTTTCAGTACAGCCTTCCTCTGAGCCACCAGCCCTTCTGCCAGCTGAGCAAGAAATGCTAAGTCAGCTGTCTCTGCTCAAGAGCTGCAGCTGTGCTTCCGAGGGCCTTGGGCTCCTTTTCTGCGATGCCAGGTATTTTGCAATTTCCAATGAGATGTTTGCAGCAGAGGTGAACGTTTGATCTTTTACAGTTGTCCTTTCTTCAAATAATCCAACCAAGAGACCCGAGATTCAGCAGAGGGATGCATCCTGTATGTCTTGGTACCCAGCCACTATGAGAACAGGATGCTGTGTTAGATGGGGCATTGGCCTGATCCAGCAGTGCTTTTCTTATGTTCTCAATGGCTAACCAGAAGCCTCTGGGAAAGCTGCAAGCAGAACCTAAGTGCAAGAGTGCTCTCCCATTTGCAGCTCACAGCAACTGGCATTCAGAAGCATTGCTGCCTCAGACGGTGGAGGCAGAACAAAGCCACCCTGGCTAGCAGCCCTCAATGGCCTTATCCTCCATGAATTTCTCCAATCCTCTCTTAAAGTTGTCTAAGTTGGTGACTGCTATGTACTGAGTTGAATAGGATCCAGAATGCAGTGGTCTGATTGGTCCTAGAACAATAGGATCCAAAATGCAGCAGTCTGATTGGTCCTAGAACAATAGGATTCAGAATGCAGCAGTATGATTGGTCCGCAGGAGCCACCCAATCCAGCTCCAGGTGGAGGTGAATCCACAACCTGATTGGTCTACAGGAGAATCCCGGAATTAGCCATTCACGTGGGGCCCATTGCATAAATAATGTATATGGAGCAGATATTGTGGGGGAACTTCCATTCCTCCTCACCACTATGAGCTGAATAAAGAGCATGAAATCCACTCTCGACTCCGAGTATATTTCAGTGACCATCCCTAGTCTCTCGTGAGAGCGAGTTTCACAGTTTAATTCTGCATTGTGCAAAGCACTTTCTTTCCTCCTTCCTTCTATCTTCCAACATTCAGCTTCACTGGAGGTCCAGTCTTATAAGAGGGAGAAAAACACCTCTTTATCTGTTTTCTCCACACCTTGCATAAAATGAGAAATGGAGAGAAACCAATTATCTATCCCTGATCTCTTGATATCACACTCACTCTTGGCTAGGAACTGAATGGTCTTGTGCAAGATGCCTCCGTGCCTAAGCCAGTGTGGCACAGTGGTTAGAGTGCTGGACTAGGACCTGGGGGACTAGGGTTCAAATCACCCCTTAGCCATGAAGCTCACTGGGTGACCTTGGGGGCCAGTCACTGCCTCCCAGACTAACTTACCTCACCAGGTTTTTGTGGGGAATGAATGAGGAGGGGGAGAACCATGGTGCAACCTCAATCTTCCTGGGGAGAAAGCTGGAACATAAATTCACTGAATAATTAAAAATTAAAATGACATCCCATGGTATCCCGATCCAGGACAATCTGCCAGAGACTGGATTCTTGACCTCAAACCTCAAGACTAGCCTATCATCATTTCTCACTTGGTGTGAGATAAATTCCAGTCACGTTTCAATCTCAGAATGCAAACCCCTACAAAGTTAAGACTTTAGGACTCAGGAGGGTTGACTCTTGCCTCACAACCACTGATTGATTTGCTGCCTGCAGTGAAGACCAACTCGCAGGTGCCTTGATGAGAAACCCCCAAGCAGGACCTGAGTGCAGCAGCAACTCTGTCCATCAAAGATGCTCACCAACAGAGGTGCTTTTAGGGTAGTGTGACCACTTCAGCTGTGCTGCAGGGGGAGCCACAACAATGCTGTAGAATGGAGTGGCCTGAGTTTTAGCATCCCACAGGGCGCCGCTGAAATCTGAGAGCCCAAAGTCTGCCGCTGCCAGCAATTGGTATTCAGAGGTATACTGCATCCAGAACATAAGAGCCCTGCTGGATCAGCCAAAGGCCCATCAATTCAGCATCCCATTCTCACAGTGCCCAGCCAGATCCGAATGGAAAGCCAACAAGCAGGATCTGAGAGTGACAGCAAGACTCTCTCCAACTGCAAATCCTCACAACTGGTGTCCAGAGGTATTCATACTGAGTCTGACAATGGATGAACAACATAAGGAGATCCCTGCTGGATCAGGCCAATAGCCCACATAGTCCAGCATCCTGTTCTCACAGTGGCCAAATACCCCAAGAAAGCTAGATAGACTAGACTGGAATTGGGAGGTTCCATAAGAACCTATCAGGAAGAACTTTCAGCAAGAGCTGTTTGTCAGTAGAACAGTCTCTTTTCAGGAGGTGGTAGACTCTCCTTCCTTGGAGCTTTTTTTTGCTGAGGTTGGATGGCCATGTGTCATGGATGCTGTGATTCCTGCCTTACAGTGGGTTGGACTAGATGGCTATTGGGGTCCCTTCCAACTCTACAATTCCATGATTCTAGGAGTCTGGCTGAAGGGGGTCTTATAGCCCAGAAGTGTTGGTTGTCAGTGCTCTGGGCAGGAGCCCCAGGTGGGGGGATGCCAACCCAGCCCTCACTGCTGATGCTGCCAGAGCATCTCCATGACCACCAGAGCAAATTGGGACCACATTGAACCATCTGCCTGCCTACACGGGGGGAGCCTGGCCAGCTGACACAGCCCTTGGCAGGTGAAGAGGAGGAAAAGGCGGTGCCATTCAAGTCATCTGCATGGGGGCACCTGGTTTGCACCCAGTCAAAAATTGTGTATCCAAGGTTATGACCCCCCCAGCACCTCCACACTATGCCCCTGTAAGCAGATGCCAAGGAGTAGGGCACAAGCTCAGCAGCACCGCTCTCCCTTCTTATGACTTCAGGCAACTGGTATTCAGAAGGTCCAGGAAGTGCGAATTATGTAGATTCACATTAAATTGTATACCAGATCATTTTTCTCCTTCATCCCTAATTGATATGAAGTCACTTTCACTGGGGGGGGAGGGGGGCATCTTTCCAATAAAAGGTGATGAGTTGCAATATTCTGCCTAGATACTTTAAAATAATAATACTTTTTTTTAAAAAACCAGCCTGACCAGCAAAATGAGACCCTAGGGACCTGTTTGTTTGCTTCTTTGTTTTGAAATGCAGTCCTTCTCCATTGCACAACATGGCGATGGGGACTGCGAGAGAAAACTTCAGAAAACTTTATATACGTTCTGCAGATGACCTCATCGCATTGGCTGCCACGTCGCTCCGAGGGTGGAGATTCTGGAATGCCTCCGAGGGTTGTAGAGAGGCAATCGGGAGAAAAAGCTGGAAGGAGTTACTGACCTGCTGCTTGTCCCAGAAATTGACTGTCCTGTGAAGCCACAGCTGGTCTTTGGACCATCTGTGAGTCAAATTTCTACAGAGGCAGTTGTGCTGCTGTTCTCTCTCCCTCTCCCTCTCCCTCTCCTTCTCTCTCCTTTTTCCTAGGAAGTTTATAAAATTATGCATGGCATGGAGAAAGTGGATAGAGAGAAGTTTTTTCTCTCTCTCTCACTCATGAAACTAGAAATGGGGGACATCCAAGGAAGCTAAATGCTGCAATATTTAGGGCAGAGAAAAGAGAGCCCTCCTTCATGCAACACAGAATTAGACTGTGGAACTCCCTGACACAGGAGACAGTGGTGGCCACCAATTTGGATGGCTCCACAAGAGGATTGGGCATGTTTGTGGAGAGTATAAGGGCTATCAATGGCTACTAGCCATGATGTCCATGTTCCGCCTGCACGATCAGAGGCAGCAATGCTTTTGAATAGCAGTTGCTGGAAATGGCAGGAGAGGAGAATGCTGGACTAGATGGGTCCCCTTTGACCTGATCCAGCAAGGCTGTCCATGTGGAGGCCCTACTATGGCAGCAGATCTCCATGCTCAGGGGCAGCCTACCCCTAAGATACCTGCCAGTGGGGAATACCATGGAGAGTTGCTGCTGCACTCAGGTCGTGAGCTAGGTTGAGGCATCTGGTTGGCCACTGTGAGAACAGGATTCTGCACTAGACGGGCCCCTTTTGGCCTGACCTTGCAGGCATTTGTTATGTTCTTATGTAAGGAAGTCAGCCAGATGTGCGTCAGGCAGGGTTATGGTTTGACAGGTTGATACAGAAGTTACCAGGACCATTAGGCGGAGAAAGATGGTTTTAGCAGGCTCCTCACATTGCTCTACTCAGAACACAAGAAGGGAAACAGTGACAGGGCAGAGTTCTTGCAGTGAGAGATGCAGGAGGATTTACATTTCTAGTTTGATGTTCTTAATCTGTGCTTCTTTCAGGAAGGGCCATAACTCAGTGGTTAAGAGCATCTGGCTTTGCATGCAAAAGGTCCCAGGTTCTATTCCCAGTGGGGGCTGGGAGAGACCCCTTGCTTAATACCCTGAAGAGCTGCTACCTGTCTGTGTTCATTAGGTTGTCATCTTTCATGAGGTAAAAAATCCAGAGCCAGGGCCCTGGTCGCCCACACCAGAGCCCACTGAACAGCAAAGAGGGAAGAAAACTTTTCGCTATCCACCTTCTCTCCACCATGCATGATTTTATGCACCTCTATGGTGTGTCCTCTTCCTTTTTTTTATATGATATTTTATTAAAGTTTTAAAGAAAAAATTACATATATAAAAAAAGAAAAAGAAATAAAAAAGAAAAAAATACAAAATACAGAAAAAAGATAGAAAACACTTAAAAAAACAAAAACACATCGATCTTTCCATAACTTACATTTCATTTCCTTACTTCCCTGACTTCCTCACACCTCCCTTTTTTGTATTCCAGTTCTATTAGTTAATTCAGCAATTCCTTTCCCTCTTTGTTTTTGTCTTAATCCTTTAACTTAACATATTATAACTTTAGATTCTCATCTGTTAACAATCCATTTGTACATACACCTTTATAACATTGCTGCTAAGACCACTTAATTTCATTCTGACATCATTCTAACATTCATTAATTTTGCAATATTTCTGTAAATAGTCTTTAAATTTCTTCCAATCTTCTTCCACCGACTCTTCTCCCTGGTCTCGGATTCTGCCAGTTTCTTCCTCACCTTTTTTCAAAGCCCTAAAATACTGCAAGCTGAAGGCAGCCCAATGCATTTCAGCGAGATGGGAGAAACAAAGAATTGCAGAGTTGTCTAAACCAGAGCCTAGGGCTTGCTGATCGGAAGGTCAGCGGTTCAAATCCCTGCAACGGGGTGAGCTCCCATTGCTCAGTCCTTGCTCCTGCCAAACTAGCAGTTCGAAAGCACGTCAAAGTGCAAGTAGATAAATAGGTACCACTCCAGCGGAAAGGTAAACAGCGTTTCCATGCGCTGCTCTGGTTCGGCAGAAGTGACTCTGTCATGCTGGCCACATGACCCGGAAGCTGTACGCCAGCTTCCTCAGCCAATAAAGCGAGATGAGCGCCGCAACCCCAGAGTCGTCCACGACTGGACCTAACAGTCTGCGGTCCCTTTACCTTTACCTAAGGGCCAATGGCTCATCTAGTCCAACTCCCTTCAATGCAGGAATCACAGCTAATTTCTGAAAGTTCTGAAATTCCTTGCAGTGTGCTTGTGTGTGCAGAGAAGTCCTTTGGCTCCTGGGTTTTTGCATAAAGTGGAATGGGAGGTGGATATGAGAACCTCCCCTTTGGCAAAACATCTTGTCATTTAATGGATTGATTTCTCCTGGGCCACAGGCAGGTTCCTGGTGCGAGGGCAGAACACCCCAGTATACAGTTTGGGAGTTACACATACAGCATCACTCCCTTCACATAAACCCCTGCATGAAGGGGCTTGCTGCGCTGCCACCTAGTGGCTACCTGAGTAACAAGAGGAGAGCTGTAATAACAACTGGTTTAATGATAACCGAGGGAGATGCAGTTGTTCCATTTCCTCCTTCGTTAACTTTGCTTTTCCAATTCCACTCCTTTTGCTGGCTGACTTATGGCTGCAATTAACATTAAAAGCTCCTCAAGGTCAGATACATACTTCTTCTTTTGCCATTATTGTGGGTTTCAGCAGGGAGCCTGCCTAGTCCAGCCTCCTGTTCTTACAATGCCAACCAGCCAAGGTGGATTTAGGCAGTGTGTCCAGTTCTGTCATACTGGGAGCTGAGTCTAGGGGGCGCCACTTAAATCTGACATAGTGAACTGGGCAGAAGAGAATGCAAGAGGTGCCACTCCTGAAATCAGATGCCCTAATGGGAAATCCACAAGAGCACCACTCTCCCATCATGTGTGATGGTCACCAACTTTAAAAAGCTTTAAAAGAAGATTAGGCAAATTCATGGAGGAAAAAGCTATCAATGGCTACTAGCTAGGATGATGTCGCTTCTCAGCCTTTTGGCTACCATATTGGCTCGAATATAAGCCGCACCTTTAAAACTGGGGGGGGGGGGGAGAGAGAGAAAAAGACAATACCCGAATATAAGCCGCCCCCTTAAAATTCCGCAGGCACTCACACCCGCTGTTTTACCGTATGTCTGTTTCAGCAGCGATATCGTAAAAGCCAGTTCGTGTGAGGTCGCAAATTTAAGCCACACTTTAACTTTTCACGGTCGAAATTTGGGGGGGGGGGGAGTGAAGCTTATATTCAGGCCAATATGGTAAGTGTCATACTAGCGAGGATGGCTGTGCTCTGCCTCCACGTCAGAGGCATCAGTGCTTCCCAAGAGGGACAGTGCAATCCTTAGGCCAACTAGGGTTTCACAGAGATCTCCGCCTGCAGCAAATTCAGAGACTGAGTCTCTGTGCCTCTGGGATCTCCCAGCATTCCTGTGCCTCTGGGATCTCCCAGCAAACTGTGTCATGGAGCCACCCTCCTCTAGCTCTGCTGGGCCGTCCTTGGCTACTTTCGCTACAGCGGTGGAGCCACTTTGTCCAGGTGTGACCTGCAACACTTTTCTCCTAGGCCCCTAGGACCTGGATTCCATTGATGGTTGGGGAAGCTACCCACATGAATGATTTGGGGCTTGTGCCTGGGGCCCAGCTGGATCTGGTATACCAGTTCATTTGTTTTCCAGAGGACCACGTATGGCTGCTTGTGGTTGGAGTCGCAGAACGCTTGCTCTTGGACAAATGTCTCGTGTGTAGGAGGATGTCATCTAAGTACAGTGGTACCTCTGGTTATGTACTTAATTTGTTCCAGAGGTCCGTTCTTAACCTGAAACTGTACTTAACCTGAAGCACCACTTTAGCTAATGGGGCCTCCTGCTGCCGCCGTGCCGCCGGAGCACAATTTCTGTTCTCATCCTGAAGCAAAGTTCTTAACCCAAGGTACTATTTCTGGGTTAGCGGAGTCTGTAACCTGAAGCGTCTGTAACCTGAGGTACCACTGTACAGTCATACCTCATGTTACGTTTGCTTCTGGTTGAGCGTTTTCAGGTTGCGTCCCACGGCAACCCGGAAGTACTGGAAAGGGTTACTTCCGGGTTTCGCCACTTGCGCATGCGCAGATGCTCAAAATGACATAATGCACATGTGCAGAAGCAGCGATTTGTGACACATGCACGCGCAGACACGCAGAGGCGTGTTTTGTTCTGCTCATGTTGCAAACGGGGCTCCGGAATGGATCCTGTTCGCAACCAGAGGTACCACTGTATAACAAGCAGGCTGACGGGGCACCCTTTCCCTCCATGAGTATCTGAAACATGGCAGGGCCATTTTGCAAGTCATGACTCCGAACTGCCCCTGTACTGCTGTGAAATCAGTTCTTCCCTTATCTTTGGCATCCATTTGCCAGTACCCGCTTTGGAATCTAGCATGGAAAACCATGTGTGTGGTGGGGGTGCAACTAGCTATCCTTGCCTAGGGTGCAAAGTAGCCTGGCACCAGCACTGCAGTTGCTGGAAACTAGAGGAGGGCTGTGTTGCTCTTCTGCTCTGGTTCTGCTTGTGGGCTTCTTCCCATTTCGGCATCTCGTCAGCCACTGTGAGAAGAGGATGCTGGACCAGATGTGCCAGCAGATGGATATAGCAGGGCTCTTCTAAATTCTTACACTGAGTAGAAATGAATTCACTTGTTTTCCTGGAACTGAAACCCCTAGTACCACATCGAAGCCAATGCTATCTCAAGGCCTGCTAAGTACCCCTGATTTGTCACCGGGAAGACAAAATGGGCCATTACCCAGGTCCAATAATCACTTTACTTATTAATAAAAATAAGTACAAGTGCTCCTTTCCCCTGATCTCAGGAACCGTTCCGCAAGATTTACTCCCAACACCAGTCATCTTTCCTGCAGAAACCCTCAACACCATCGGTCATTCCACAGGCATGCATGCACAGGGGCCTCCCAAAATGGGCTTTTTACAGCCTCTCATAATAGGAGAGAAAATGACACCATTTATTTTGGCGCGTGGCAAAGCCAGCCCAATTGATGGCGGGTCTGTAATGTGCCTCTTACTGCCTTTAACAGGAGGATGGAGAGTTTTGTTACTGAGAGGTTCTGCTTGCCTTTTAAACCTAGCGTCCCGTCCCCCCCCCCAATTAGCACTGGACACCCCACCAGCAAACATACCACTGAGTGAGGATGGATGCAAGTTCACCACTAGCATGCCATCCTCCCCTGCATGCATTGCAGTAGTGGTCCTCTTCCTCCCTTCTCTGTTCTGTCCCCATGACAATAGCTGTTGCAGGAAACATCTGGAAACCAAGCAGGAATCAGAAGGGAGATTTGAAAGGGGGGGAGAGAGAGCTGAATGCCTCCCACTTTCTTAAAACAACTGCAATTATGCCTTTGAGGGTTTACCAGTTAGTGGTAGATTCCTGTCCTGCCAGATGATGTCAGTGGGAAAGTATGAAGGGTTGATGGGGGCGGGGTGTATTTTTAAAGAGTTGGTTTCTAGCACATGTGAATCAAGGCATGGAAGAGGAACCCAGATGTGGGTTGCTTTCTTTCTTGCTTTCGCAGACGTGGTCTCCAAATGCAGCAAGGGAATGATAATCTTATTTGCAGACAGATCTGATCCATGCTTACGCAGATGTAAGCATTCCATGAGGCTTACTCCTGAGTAAATGTGCATAAGATGCAGGCTTTTCTGTCTGCAAATTTTATGACCTGTGCCGTTTCAGTCACTCCCACACCGGGGCACAGGGAGGTCAGTCAGCTCAAGTTTGGGCTCTGCTTCCTCTCCCCCCACCCCTTTCTCTCTCCCAGCTAAAAAAGACAGCAATTTTATTTTCATTCCTGAGAAGGGGTGGTGGAAACCCTTTCAGAACAAGGGTCTGGATTCAAAGCCCTGCTCAGTCATGAAGCTTGCTGGGTGTGACCTTTGAGGCCAGTCTCTATTTTTTGGCCTAGCCTACTTCACAGGGTTGTTGTGAAGATAAACATAGAGAGAAAGAGAACTACACATGCCACCTTGAACTCCTAGCGATAAATAAATAAATAAATAAATAAATAAATAAATAAAACATAGCTGCAGCAAACACATTTTCCTAGTGCACTGCAGCTGTAAATGGGAGGAGGGGGGGTGTACACACTGAGCTCCCAGGACAGCCGGCCAAACATGTAATTGATGGGAAGGGATTGCATACAAGGTTGACCTCTCGGCGAGCATTGCCCGTGTGATTCGTGGAACCCAAACATCGTAAATCTCATCCTATTTCAGACTCCATTTGGCCCTCTTTCCCGGTTTCATGCACAAACCTAATTTGCACGCTTTGAAATATCGGCTGAGTGGAATGGAATGAGTTCTGCAGGGTTTGGAAGTTCAGCCCCCAGGCACAGAGAATTCTAGAAACAGCTGGGCTGTCAGGCAGAGGCAGGCTCTGGAATGGGTCGCTGGCCGCTGGCTGATGACACTAACATCTGGTTGGATGCACTAGGGAGGGCAGCTCTGAGGTGGAGAAGGAGATTCCTGGATCCTCCAGGAACATCTCCTAGTTGTTTCATTTTCTGGACCTTGCAGTCAAGACTGACCACGTTCCAGCAAGCTGTGGACCTCAAACAGTGGGGTATTAAGAACGATGTTTTAATGAGAGCTATACCGGTAGCCTTCCAGATGTTGTTCGGCTCCATATCCCATCATCAGCATCAACCAGCATGTCCAAAGTGCATAAGAACTCTGGGAGAGCTTGCTGGATTGGACCAAGGGGGCAGAGGCGTAACTAGCCACTTGGGCACCTGGGGCAGCTGAGGGGGAGGCGGCGGGCAGATACAAGCCCCACATTGCCGTTTCAGGCAGCGTGGAGCCTGCAGGTACCTGAGCCGCCTCGTCACTCCCAGGAGAGATGTGTGGCTTGAGCGCTCTGAAGGCTCTGCGGTAAGTGCCACCCCCACAGTATGGTGCCCTGTGCGTCCTGCCCTCCTGGATACACCTCTGCAAGGGGGCCCATGTAGTCCAGTCTCCTTTTATCACACTGGCCAAGCAGTTGCCCCTAAGGGAAACCTACAAGCAGGACCACAGATCTAAGAATGTAACAAGAGCTCTGCTGGATCAAGCCAATGGAGCACCTCATCATAAGATATCATAAATTCATAAGAATTTAAATTGATCATAAATTCATAAGAATTTAAATTCACCATAAATTCATAAGAATTTAAATTCATCATAAATTCATAAGAATTTAAATTCATCATAAATTCATAAGAATTTAATCCAGAATGCAGCTGCCAGACTAGTGACTGGGAGCGGCTGCCAGGACCATATTGAAAAGGTAAAGAGACCCTGACCATTAGGTCCAGTCGTGGCCGACTCTGGGGTTGCAGCACTCATCTCGCTTTATTGGCCGAGGGAGCCGGCGTACAGCTTCTGGGTCATGTGGCCAGCGTGACTAAGCCGCTTCTGGAGAACCAGAGCAGTGCACGGAAACACCATTTCCCTTCCTGCTGGAGCGGTACCTATTTATCTACTTGCACTTTGATGTGCTTTCGAACTGCTAGGTTGGCAGGAGCAGGGACCGAGCAACGGGAGCTCACCCCATCGCAGGGATTTGAACCGCCAACCTTCTGATCAGCAAGCCCTAGGCTCTGTGGTTTAACCCACAGCGCCACCCGTGTCTGAGGACCGTATTACATTGGTCCTAAAGGATCTACACTAACTCCCAGTATGTTTCCAAGCACAATTCAAAGTGTTGGTGCTGACTTTCAAAGCCCTAAATGGCCTTGGCCCAGTATGCCTAAAGGAGCGTCTCCACCCCCATCGTTCTGCCCGGACACTGAGGTCCAGCTCCGAGGGCCTTCTGGCAGTTCCCTCACTGTGAGAAGCGAAGTTACAGGGAACCAGGCAGAGGGCCTTCTTGGTAGCGGCGCCCGCCCTTCAGATGTCAAACAGATCAACAACTACCCGGTATTTGAGTTTTAGAGGACATTTGAAGGCAGCACTGTTCAGGGAGGTTTTTAGTGGTTGACATTTTACTGTGTTTTTATATCTGCCGGCAGCCGCCCAGATTGGCTGGGGCAACCCAGCCAGGTGGGAGGGGTGGAAATAACAAAATCAACATCATCAACATCATCATTAAGAAGAGTCTGCTGGGTCAGGCCCATGGCCCATTAAGCCTGCTGGATCAGACCAGTTAGCCCTCTAGCCTAGCATCCTGTTCTCACAGTGGCAAAACAGATGCCCCTTATGGGAAACCCACAAGCAGGATCTGAACACAAAAGCACTCTCTCTTCCCATGGTTCCCGGCAACTGGGATTCAGAAGCACCACAAGCCAGTGAGACATTTTGAGACAGGGTGGATGAGCCTTAAGTCTGGAAAAGTGAGAAACACAGGAACCAAGATTAGGCTGAGCCACCCCTAGTTCTGTACAGGCCCTTTCCCACTCGGGATAAGTACGGAGACCTGGGGCTCTTGGCAGGGGAGATGGGTGTTTTCTCCTTCTATATTAAACATGAGCTTGGGGGTAGACAGGGCAGCACATTCCCATTGCCCACCCTCACCCTGCAAACCCAGTTTTCATTCAGAAAAGAAAAGGGCACTCCAGCTATTGGAGAAATGGTGTGGTCATGCTCTGGAAGACCTCTGATGTCTCTGCCAGCTGTTCTTCAGCCGCCCTTCATACTCCTATGACATTTAAAACTTCTTGACTGCCAATACGATATGTGTGCAATGGGATTTATTTTATTTTATTTATTTATTTATTGCGGGGGAGCCGGGTGGAGGGGGAGAGAGGACATCACATTCTGTTTAGCTTGTTTAAAAAATGACAGGAGGGCTAGGGAGAGGTGGATAAATAACTTCTTGGACACTGTTCGGATTGGAAAACGTTTTGAACATCCATGGAATTGGAACAAAAGCAAACATTCCAGAGGGTAAAACATGCAGAACCCTTGGAGGAGAAAGACATTTGGGGGTGGGCGGAGACGAGGGAGGGGAGGGTCCTAGACGACTTTCCAGACCAACAGCCTTTACTGAAGAGAGGCACCATGCGATTAAAGTGGGGGAAGGGAAGAATGGGCTGCAAAAATGTTTTGCAGTGCAATGCCTCCATCTAGTGGTCGGGTGGCATATCATTGTAAAAACCTTGCATTTCAAGCACCCGATTCCCTATCTGCATTTTATATTATCATTATTAGTATTAAAAAACCAAACAAACCTTAAAGTTTATATACCTCTTGACTATAAAAAACAAAAGACCTCATAACAGTTTGCAAAAGAATAAAGCAAGGAAATTATCAGGAAGCATAGTTAAAAAACAACTTTTTTAAAAAATTCAACAATAAGCTAAAAAGGGGGGGGGGTTAAAATACATGTCAAAACATTCTACATGTCTGGATAGGCTTCCTAAATGAAACATGTTTTCAGGAGGCACCAAAAGAGTACAGCCAATAGGAGGGAGTTTTTTTCTTTTTTATTATGTTTTATTATCCATACTTGCATCTGCACATCAAAGACATATCTTCCTTATTTTACATAATTTTTTTTTTTTTCAAAATAAAATCCAACAAAAGGATATAGGTCTTCCTACAATACATTTGATACAAACATTTGACTTCCGGTCCTTTCCCAATTTTTTCCATTCTAATAAACCTATTGCTTCATCTATACATTACTAATAAGATAATAATATTCATACCTATATATTCCTGTTTTTCCTCTTTTAAATTATTCACAGAGATTACTCAAAGGCTGCTACCGAATTCAAATTGCAGCAATTATTCTTTGGATAATTCCTTAAAGGTTCCCAGTTTGAAATGAACTCCTGCTTTGACATCTTTAATCTTTTACAAGAGACTGTCTACTTCAGCATATTCAGCATATGCAATAGGGGGGAGTTTCAAAGCATCTAGGATTTTTATGTTGTGAACCACCCTGAGATCTACAAATGAAGGGCAGTAGAAAATTTTTAAAAATAAAACAAATGCACAAATAAGCATCTGTTCTCTTGCCTTGTATGTGAACTAAGTGGACCCTTATTTTCATCTGTCTTCCCTTTCTTTCTAAAAAAAGAAGGAAAGTGAGTTTTAAAGCAGCTGCACATGTTTACACTGGGAATCCAGAGCCAACCCTGGACAGCTGTGGGTCTGAAAGTGATGTCAAGGTGCTTGGGGGGTGGGGGATATGGAGAAAGAATTCAGTCTCCCTTTTTGCAAATGGATGGGGCCTTTGTGCTGCCCTCCTTCCTTCTCCTCCTCCAAGTCATTAATAGAGCTGGACAGTTTCCCCACTTCGTGCCCCGTTCGTCAAAGTGCTTAGTAGCAGGCAATCCTCCGTTTAACTATTGTTGAGGGTTTGAGGGTGAGGATAGGCCATGGGTAAGCAAACTAAGGCCCGGGGGCCGGATCCGGCCCAATCGCCTTCTAAATCTGGCCCACGGACAGTCCAGAAATAAGCATGTTTTTACATGAGTAGAATGTGTCCTTTTATTTAAAATGCATCCCTGGGTTATTTGTGGGGCCTGCCTGGTGTTTTTACAAGAGAAGAATGTGTGATTTTATTTAAAATGCATCTCTGGGTTATTTGTGGGGCATAGGAATTCATTCATTTCCCCCAAAAAATATAGTCCGGCCCCCACAAGGTCTGAGGGACAGTGGACTGGTCCCCTGCTGAAAAAGTTTGCTGACCCCTGGGATAGGTTGTATGAGGCCTAATTCCTACCTCTGGAAAGGATTAAAATCTAATGAAGGAACCCATTGCTGAATTTGCCAGACAGGGGGGCATCACGGCCCCAAAGTATGGGTTGCAGAGGCATAGCATGGCAGGGGAAGGGGGAACATGGCCCCCAGGTACACAGCCCCACTGCCTCGACCCTGGCCATCTTCCCCGAGTGCCGCTGGGAGAAACAGAGCAGAATCAGGGAAGCCGAGGGAAGGGGCGCGAGCTCAGCCACAGCCTCTTCCTCTCTGCCACTTGCTCTCTCTGGGGCAGAGACAGGGGAGGTGGTGGCAATCAAAGCAAGGAGGCTCTGCCACCCCAGTCCTGCCCTGCCTGCCACTGCCATCTTCCGCTGCCTGCCTGTCTCTCTGCCCCACCAGCTGAGGGAGCCATTGCTCTGCCTGCCTGGTGTCTCAGCCCAGCTGCATGGCTGCCTCTGAAGGGTGGCAGGGGGAGGGCAAGGACAGGGCCTTATAGAGGCCTGGAGTGGCACTGCAGCCATGGCTGTGGGCGGGAAGACAGAGCGGGGACTGCTGAGGAAAGAAGGAGCAAAGGAAAGGGCCAGTTCCCCTCAGAAGTGCCTCACAGTCAAGCTGAGGAAAACAATCTCAGTTGGAAGAAAGTTGGGGGGTGGGTAGTTGCTCAATCTGGAATAACTACTGCCTCAAATTCCAAATGCCAGCTTTTCCACCTCACGATGCCAGGTATCACAATATAGTGATACATTGTGGTGTTGGAAAGAGGAGGGAGGAATAAGCTCCATCAGACCAGGCCCTGCAAGGCGTTGGGGTGAAACCACCTCAGCTCCATTAGCGGGAGTGGCGGCAGTTTCACCTCAGCACCTGTGGGCCTGGGCCCAATGGAGCTTATTTGTCCCTCAGTGTGCCAGGCACTTGGCAGCAGAGGGGGTTCTTTTGTCGCCAGAGCCCAGCGCACCGAGGGACAAACGAGCTCAAACGAGCTCCATCGGCCTTGGCACCTCACGAATCATTCCTCCCTTGGTCTGAGGGCCAGGGTGTGATGGCACCTACCCGGAAGTATATTGCAGGTGAAACTGCCGCTGCTGTGTCCTGACTCAGGAGTGGCGGTTTCACCCGCAATATACCACCAAGTGAAGGCACCATTGCACTCTGGCCCTCAAACCAACCCTGGGCGATGTACAGTCATACCTCGGGATAAATGTGCTTCAAGTTAAGTATTTTCGGGTTGTGCTCCGCGGCGACCTGGAAGTAACGGAGCACTTTACTTCCGGGTTTCATCACACGTGCATGTGCAGATGGTCAAAATGACTTCACACGCATGCGCGGAAGCGGCAAAATGCGACCCACGCACACGCAGACACACAGATGCGGGTTGTGTTCGCTTCAGGATGCGAACGGGGCTCCAGAACAGATCCCGTTCGCATCCCGAGGTACCATTGTATTGATACATCACTTAGGCCCAACCCATACTACGCAAATGGGTGGTGCCCCTTCCCTCACCTGGCTGGTAGTGAGAAGGACAATAACCAGGGCAAAGCTGAGGTATGCATGTGAGCTGGGCCAGAAGCAGGCAGAAGCTGGAAATGGGAGAGCCATACTTGATTTCTGCTTGTCTCTAAGGCTGTGAATATTGGAGAAGCAAGACCTTCTGGGGTGTTAATGCTGTGGACCCCTCCATTGTGGGCTCAGGTTGTACATAGGTGCAAATAAACCATATATCCCAAAGGCACCACAGTGCACTGCCACTTGTTCCAAGGAAACCAAACTCTGGGTAAACGCCTAGAACCCATGGAATCTCGCACCAGTCAGAGATTGGGGGTGGCACACAACATTATTTTCATATCTGTTTTGTTTTGAACAGATTTCTCTCTTTTCTCAGGGTTCATCTAACAATGCAGCAAGTTTCAACCTTCCCAACCGGAAACCCTCAAGGAGGATGTGAGCCCTACAGCAATACTCTCCCCACTTGTAATTCCTGGCAACCATCATTCAGGGGTATCTTGCCCCCACAGTGGAAGAAGAACCTAGACATTGTGACTAGTAGCCATTGGGGCGCTGGCAGAGGAAGAGGGGGGCAGGGGGAGTGCACCGCCCCCGGCAGTGTGATCCCAGTGGGGTGCCATCATGGCTACCTGCCCACCCACGCTGGGCACCACGCCCCCGCAAGCGGCATGTCACGCCCCCAGGACGCACGCCATGCCCCCAAGAAGCGTGCCACCCCGCCCCTGCCTGCTCTCCGCCCCCCCAGTGCCAGAGCATGAAGCTCTGCCACTACACTGATGGCCTTATCCTCTGTTAAAGGATGATGGCAGCTGGAAATCTGCCTCATCTGGAAAGCACCAGGTTGGGGGGAGGTGGTTTGCTATGGTGTTTATTTTATTTATTTACTGAATATTCATCTCCCCTTTCCCCAGGGATTGTGACCCTGTCTCAATCTGTACAGTCTCCCCAGATTATTTGGGATCATGCAGGCGATTCTTTCTGAGGAAGGAAGGAAAGTCCAGCCATTCTAAGACAAGACCCAATGCCAGTTATACTGAAATATAACCCAATGAAATATTTGCAGTTAAATAACCTGGGCTGGTTGATGTTGATTGATCTATATACCAAGGGTGACCTACAATTCCATTTATGTACATTTATTAAACTTATTAGTCACTTGCCATCCAAAGGTCTCCAAGCGACATAAAAGTAATACACACACAAAAATACATAATACCATGGGGGGGGGGAGGAGGATCATACATCAATATATTGTCTAACATAACACTTATGTAAAGATGAAAGAACAAAACACACCTGCCCTATAAACAACAAACAACAAAAAAATACTTAAATAATAGGCAAAGAATGCTCCCACCCACTAATTAGCAGATAAACAAATTATTTCTCCAACTTTTAACCTGCCCACCTCACCCAGAGGTCACCAGTGGGATGGTCTTGCATCTTTCCTCTCCCTTCAGAGGAAAGCAATAGCAGGGCAAAGCAGGAAGGTGGTAGCAAATGCTTTAGCTGGTATTTCGTTTTACCTGATATTTAACTATTTAGATCGATATTGCCACTCGGTCAAGAAACAGGAATAGATCTTAAAAATAAGGGGCAGGGAAGCAGATTGTTTTCAAAAGGGCAGCATCTTACTCCTCTTCCTCTTCGTGCACAAGCACTAATTTTGACTCTTAAAAAATATAAATAGGCAACCAGCAGTCTCAGCGTTTTGACAAGTCATCGCCCTTACCTTAAGCCGCAGTTCTCAAAACTGACCACCAGATGGCAGTGCGCTATATCAATCGGAAGTAAGTCCTCCTGATACTAAAAACATTGTGGGAGGTTTCCTATTGAGTCAAATAGCAACTGGTGCAGAGTTGCTGCGCACGTACACAACCCACACACAGAGACAATTTATGATTCCAATCCTGATCTTGAAGAAAGGTTGCGGCGTTTGGGAATTCGAAAAGTCATGTAATTGTGGAATTCAAAGGGATCATGTGGGTCCAAGCCCCTGTGACAGATGGCTGTCCAACCTCTGCTTAAAAACCTCCAAGGAAGGAGAGTCTGCCCCCTCTCGTGGGTGTCTATTCCACTGTCGAACTGCTCCTTCCATCGTCTTCCTGAGGTTTACTTGGAATCTCCCTTGTAACTTGGATCCATTGATTTCAGTCCTCCAGAGCAGGAGAATACAGTCTTCCTCCATCCTCCATGCAACAGGCCTTGAGATATTTGAAGATAGCTATCAGATCTCCCCTCAGTCTCCGCTTCTCTAGGTTAAATATACCCAATTCCCTCAACTGTTCCTCATAAGGCTTGGTTTCCAGACCCAGACCCTCCAACATTCCTTGGACAAAAACAGGGACATTTCTCACTCCCCCCACAACTGACCCTCCTCAACCCCCCACTTTTTGAGTGTCTCCTGCCCGACCTAACCCTAACCCGCTCCACCACAGAGCATTTCCTATCAGAAGGGTGTGTCTAAAACTTGCCATTTAGGTTTTCAAACCTTTTTTGCAAACTCAGGGGAGCGTTTTAGCCCTGTTTTTGAGTTTGTTTAAAATCTAAAACAGCTTATCTTGTATTCGTTTCTTTGAATTGTGTCATTTAGGTTTTTAAAACCTTTTTGTAAAGGCAATACTAAAATTTTCACAGCTGAGTCCTCAACTCTTTATTACTGTGCTTGGCTTTCTTCAAGCTGGGCTGTGTCTAAAACTTGCCATTTAGGTTTTGTTATGTACTGAGTTGAATAGGATCCAAACTGCAGCAGTCTGATTGGTCCTAGAACAATAGGATCCAAAATGCAGCAGTCTGATTGGTCCTAGAACAATAGGATTCAGAATGCAGCAGTCTGATTGGTCCTAGAACAATGCAGCAGTATGATTGGTTGGCAGGAACCACCCAATCCTGCTCCAGATAGAAGTGAATCCACAACCTGATTGGCTTACAGTAGAATTCTGGAATTAGCCAATCATGTGCAGCCCATTGTGTAAATAATGTATATAAAGCAGATACTGTGAGGGGACTTCCATTCATTCCTCCTCACCACTATGAGCTGAATAAAGAGCCTGAAATCACTTTGCGACTCTGAGTATATTTCACTGGCGACGAGGGTGGGATCCCGCTGAGCTGACTGCCACACACAGCACCGCAGCACCGCCACCTGCCGCACCGCTGCCTCGCACCGTGTATCCAGGCTTCAGCTCCGGGACACAAGGAACTCAGAATGGCAGCCAACAGCAGCTTCTCGCCATTCAACCCAGCATCTGGAGACTGGGAAGCGTACGCCTCCCGTTTCACCTTCCTCCTAGAAGCCAAAGGGGTCACCGACGAAGAAGACGCCAAGAAGAGGGCGATATCCTTCAGCGTCTGTGGAGAGGAGACATTTGAAATCGCCCGGGCTCTCCTTGCGCCTGAAGACGTCGCTACTGTTCCATACAAAACAATAATGGAACAGCTGAAGGGACACTTTTCGCCGCAGCCCTCAGTGCTGGCTCGTCGAAATGCCTTCTACGCAAAGTGGCAAGCCCCTGGGGAAACCATAACTGGGTTTGTGACCTCTCTCCGCCAAGCCGCCCGGTTCTGCAACTTCTCAAAGCTGGAGAACATGCTTCGTGACCGCCTCATCGGTTGCCTGAAGGATGAGAAGCTGCAACGACGCCTCTACGCTAAGAAGGACCTAACGTTCCAGGTCGCTCTGGAGGAGGCCCTGGCAACGGAAGCTGCCGAGAGGTCGACGCAAGAGGCACAGCCGAGCCTGCCGTCCCAACTGAGGGTCCACCACGAAGACCTCACCGACGACTCAGGATCCGACAGGGAGGAGGTGCACCGAGTACAGCAGTGCACTCAAGCAGCGCACAGACCACAGCTGCCTCGACGAGAAGGAGGGAACTGCGCAAGCTGCGGGGAGAGTCACGAGAGGAGGACCTGCCGTTTCCGCAACGCAGAGTGCAGGCAGTGCAGAAAATCGGGACACATCGCCCGGGTGTGTTGGGCTCGGCCCACCCGACACCAGGCATCAGATGACCAATCCAAGAGCCCCAGGTCCCGGGGCCCAACGCACCAAGCCAACTCGATGGAGCTCACGGACTGCCAGGTATACCAGTTGCCCCACCCCAACGTAGAGAAAATTTATGTAGAGGTACAGATAGAGGGGGCCCCATGCCGCATGGAGCTTGACACGGGTTCAACTCTATCCATAATCTCGGCAAGGACCTTAAGGAAACTGTGTCCTACTGAGGGTCCCAAACTCAGGCCGGCCCCATTCACCCTATGGGACTTCCAGAAACGTAAGGTCCCCACAATGGGGGTGGGGACCTTCAGGGTGCAATACCGAGGCGGACGCGGCAACTGGACTTGCTTGTGGTCAAGGGCCCCTACATTAGCTTACTGGGATTGGCATGGTTTGGACCACTGGGGCTAGCTGTCACCGGGGTGAACCACACTAGCTTACAAGTGGACGTGGACGCCATATGCAAGGAATTTCCAGGGGTTTTTGATGGAAAATTGGGACAGTATACGGCCCCCCCATTGCGCTACAGCTTGACCCCGCAGTACAACTGGTCAGGCTCAAGGCCCGCCGGGTCCCGTTCGCCTTGAAACCCCGTATAGACGAGGAATTGGACCGACTCGTGGAGCAAGGAGTGCTGGAGCCGGTGCCTAATGCCCCCTGGGAAACCCCAATCGTCATACCCGTCAAGCCTAATGGTTCGGTCCGCATCTGCGCAGACTACAAATGTACCATAAACAAGGCCCTCACGGCCCACACATACCTAGTGCCAGTGGTCAGCCATGTCCTTGCCACCCTGGCTGGGTCGAAAATTTTTGGCAAGCTGGACTTGGCCCAAGCATATCAACAGCTGCCAGTAGATGAGGCCACAGCAGAGGCACAGACGATTGTGACGCACAGAGGAACGTTCAGGGTAAAGCGGCTGCAATGCGGTGTCAGCGTGGCACCAGGCATATTCCAGAATCTAATGGACTCTCTCCTTAAAGGTATTCCTGGTGTCACTCCCTTCTTCGATGATGTGTTGATTGCCAGGCCCACACCAGAGGAGTTTGAGGACCGCCTCCGCACCGTTCTGCACCGTTTCCAGACGGCGGGTCTCAAGGTGAAGCGGGAAAAATGTCTACTAGGATTGCCTCAGGTGGACTTTCTGGGATTTATGGTGGACGCAGAAGGGGTCCACCCGACTGGGGACAAGGTACGGGCCATTTGTGACGCCCCAGCGCCCAAGAGCAAGACTGAACTTCAGGCCTTCTTGGGACTATTGAACTTTTACCATTCCTTCCTTCCCCACAAGGCGGCGGTAGCGGAGCCCCTACACAGACTCCTGGACAAGCGGGCCCCTTGGGTGTGGGGCCAGCGCCAGGAGGCCGCATTCCAGGCAGTCAAGGACTTGCTTGTCTCAAACTCGGTCTTGGCACACTTCGACGAGAGGCTGCCGGTGGTGCTAGCATGCAACACCTCACTCTATGGCATTGGCGCTGTCCTGGGGCACCAACTCCCGGATGGAAGAGAGGTACCGGTGGCGTACTTTTCCCAGACACTCAACGCAACCGAGCGGAACTACTCGCAAATCGACAAGGAGGGTCTGGCAATAGTGAAGGGAGTAAAAAAATTCCATGATTTCTTGTACGGGCGGCCCTTCACCGTGGTGACTGACCACAAGCCGTTGCTTGGCTTGTTTGCCCCCGAAAAGCAGACCCCCCCAAGTGCTGTCTCCTCGCGTCCTCAGGTGGTCAATTTTCCTTGCCAGCTACCAGTATGCACTGATTCACCGACCTGGGAAGGCGATGGGCCATGCGGACGCCCTCAGCAGGCTACCACTACCAGAAACAGGCCCTGACCCAGCACCTGCACAAGAGGTTATGAGCCTGGAGCTGCTTCCCGACCGCCCCATTCAGGCACAAGAAGTTGCACACCATTCCAAGAAAGATAGGGTCATCTCCGGGTCCTGGACTGGGTGTGGAGGGGATGGCCCAGCAGCAGCCCCGGGCCAGAATTCGCCGGCTACACAACCCGCAAACATGAACTGTCGGCCCACAAGGGGTGCCTGTTATGGGGAAGCAGAGTCGTTGTTCCCCAGCCCCTCTGCAAAAGGGTCCTCACAGCCATACAAGAGACACATCCAGGGGTAGTAAGAATGAAGGCCCTTGCCAGGAGTTATGTGTGGTGGCCGGGGATCGATGGAGAGATAGAGGCCTGGGTCAAACACTGCCAGGCCTGCCAAGAATCCCGCCCAGATCCCCCAAGGGCCCCAGTCCAGTCCTGGGAGTCCGCCCGAGCACCATGGTCACGCCTGCATGTGGATTTCGCTGGCCCCTTTCAGGGGAAAACATTCTTCATAGTGGTGGACTCCTACACCAAATGGCTAGAAGTCGCACTGGTACCGTCCACTTCCACGTCCGCAGCCATCCGGGTACTACGCAGGCTGTTTGCAACCCACGGGCTCCCTGACACTCTCGTCTCAGACAACGGGACTGCATTTACGTCAGGAGAATTCCAAACCTTCACAGCGCAGAACGCCATCTGCCACATCCGTTCGGCGCCGTTCCACCCTGCCACCAATGGCCAAGCAGAACGCATGGTGCGGACCACCAAGGACACCCTTCGCTGCATGACACAAGGGGACTGGGAGTACCGCCTTGCCACATTCCTTCTAGCACAGCACAGCACCCCCAGCTCAACAACTGGCCGGAGCCCCGCTGAACTACTAATGGGTCGGCGCCTTGCAATCAGATTGGACCGCCTTCACCCCGATAGAGCTCAGGATGAGGTAGTGGTGGGGGAAGGCAGGAACCCCCAGACCTTCGAGGCCCAGGACCCAGTGTACGCAAAGAATTTTGGGGCAGGCCCAGCATGGGTACCCGCCACAGTCACCAGGGTCACTGGCCCCGTGTCGTACGAGGTGCTAACGGATGGGGGGCAATGCTGGCGCCGCCACTGCAACCAGATACGGTGACGATTCCCGGGAGAAACCCAGGAGGAGGATAGGTCAGAGGAGTCCCAAGCGAACAGCGGGGCAGTGAGGCCCATAGAGCAGGAGGGGCCAGCAGGAGAGGCAAAATCAGTAAATACAGAGAGGACCCGTGAGGCCGAAAGGACACTGGAACCAGAACCACGACTGAGCGAGCCGGTTACACCAGACCAAACAGCCCCATCACAGCCAGCATCCTTGGAACACGAGCCAGAACCTGGAGCCCGGACCAGGGAACACCCCAGGCATACCTTGAGGACCATGAATGCGACCTCCCGGGCAGGACTGGAACTTAGAGGGGAGGGGTGTTATGTACTGAGTTGAATAGGATCCAAACTGCAGCAGTCTGATTGGTCCTAGAACAATAGGATTCAGAATGCAGCAGTCTGATTGGTCCTAGAACAATGCAGCAGTATGATTGGTTGGCAGGAACCACCCAATCCTGCTCCAGATAGAAGTGAATCCACAACCTGATTGGCTTACAGTAGAATTCCGAATTAGCCAATCATGTGCAGCCCATTGTGTAAATAATGTATATAAAGCAGATACTGTGAGGGGACTTCCATTCATTCCTCCTCACCACTATGAGCTGAATAAAGAGCCTGAAATCACTTTGCGACTCTGAGTATATTTCAGGTTTTCAAACCTTTTTTGTAAACTTAGTTTTAGAAACTGTACCTTTGAGTCCTCAATCATTTATTGCTGCACTTTGTTTCACCTAGGCTGAACTAGGATTATAATACTTCAGAAATTTTGGGAGTTTTACCCCCTTTCTTTGAATTTGGTCATTTAAGGTTTATGTCTCTATTTCCTTCTGAGGAAACTGAATAGTTCAGTGAAACGAAGTTTGTAGCTGGCATCCCGTTAAGGCTTTGTTCAATTCTAGGTTATTCTAATTTTGTCCTTAAACTTTTTGATTTTTATTATTTAGTTTATTTCTATAAGATAATATTTCTAGTCAATTACTTCTCATTTCAGGGATTTTCATGGCATTTCATTTATTTTGTGTAACTCCACCGTCTAGAGGCAGAATAGAGTAGTTCTATGACTTATCTTTGGGGGGGCGGGGTGGACTCTAGGGGGGGCACTAAACTTCTGTTGATGCAGCCTAGAATAGCACTAACTCTTTTTTTGCTGCATCACAGTGTTGACTCACGTGAAACTTGTGGTCTAAGACCCCTTGATCCCTTTCACATGTACTACTGGCAATCTTATATTTGTGGCGCTGGTTCTTCCTGCCTAATTGCAGAACCCTACTGAAATTAAGTTTAGAGACTTGCTTCTTGGTCTCTGATGTAGCCCTCATGTTTCTCACGTGTGTACAACCCATCCAATATTATATCTGGTGCAGTGCATAGCGACATTATGTATTTCTAACGTGTTGCACTCTGTATTTTTATTAGAAGTGGAAGACATACTTGGTGTTCTTAATGTCGTTTCATAACTTCCATCATTTCCATCTTGGGCATCAGCTATTTGCTCTTCATTTTCATCAGCAGAGAAAACTATTTCATACGGTGGTATTGAAGCATCCTGCTTTCTTCTCTGCTTATATTCAGCAAGCCTTCTCTTATCTTCTTGCCACTTTTGCTTTTTGACTTGCCTGCTATGCTCAAGCCAATCTGATGGTCCAACAGAACCAGGTCTTGTCTCTCTGACTTTTAATGAAAGAAAGTTCCTTCACTGAGATCTTCATATCCTTAGGGCACCTGGAGTTAATGTGAGTTTCCTTTTTTGCAACCAGCATCTGCAAGGCACATAGCTGTCAACCGTTCCTTATTTGGTGGGAAACTCCCTTATCCCAGCACCGTGTCCCACTGCTGTCCCTTATTGATGATGTCCCTTAAATTTCCCGGGTTTCAAAGGAAGCAGCTCCTCTCCCTCCCTCCCTGCCGGCCAGGGAGGAGGGAGGCTCCGTGTTGCTTGGCTGCCTGGCCCGCCCCCCTCTGGCCTCCTCTCACCAGCCTCAGCCCTCAGGAGCCCCTCCCCGCTGGGACTGGCGGGAGCCTCGGGCCCTTCTGCCGCTATCCTCCTCGCGGCCGCTGAACTGAGCATCTCTGCCCGTGGCCGCCGCCGCTCCCGCTAGGCTGTACTGCGGCTGCGCTGCCAAAGGACCCAGATGAGATGGGCAGCCATTGCTGAGGAGCCTTGAGAGGAGAGCAAGGGCAACCATAGAGAAAGCAGTTCAGAGAGAGGAGGCAGAAGCGGAGGCACGGGCAGGTGTTCCAAGGGCTAACCATAGAGGGGGAAAGTGGAGGAAGGACCGCAAGTGCTTCTCCCATAGATTTGTAGTGGTAAACTAGCATATATGGTCTGATCTGCGGGTTTACTTCGGGCACTATTTCCTCCCCCCTCTTCCTCCCGCCCCATCTGATGGAACTGAGAGCTGCAGATGGAGCACGAGAGAAAAGATACAGAACTGCAGCAGCATCTTCGTAGCTTGGACTTCGTTTTGCGCGAAAAGTGGTTGCTGCTTGTAGTTATTTAATTGCAGTGTTTCATCAGCTGGTGTCTTGAGCAGCAACCTCTGGAAGTGAAGGGCTAAAAACCAGCGCTGCTCTCCCAAATTATCTGGTCCCTTTTAACTTTGTATTTCAGCTGGTTGACTAAAATCCCTTATTTTGGCTGCTGATCCCTTATATTCAAGGCTGCTGGTCCCTTATTTTCAAATCTGTAAGTTGACAGCTATGGCAGGACAACCAAATTCAAAGCAGAGAAAAAGGCTTACACTTGCAACTGAGGGTGTTAAAAAGCTTGTTAAGTTTTGTAGTTTAATTTTTTATGCAATTTTCCATGCATTTATTGCTACACAAAAAATATTAATAAGACTAAAATTATTGGAATTTCCACAAAAAATGTTAAGAAGTCAATATCTTTTATGTACCTATTTACCAAGGAAAAATAAATTATATTAATTTAATCAAAATATCTTTTGATTTTCCAAGTTAAGCTTCAACCTTTTAACACCCATCGCTTTGGGAATTCAAAAAATGAAAAATTCAGCATGCCCTCTTCTTGTGCCCTAATCCCGCTTACCATAACAGGTATCCAGTTAGCTACTATGAGAAGAGAATGCTGGACTAGATGGGTCATAGAATCATTGGAAAGGACCTCTGAGGGCCATCTAGTCCAACCCCCTGCAACGCAGGAATCTCAACTATATCATGCATGCATTAAAATTGGTCATCCAACCTCTGCTTTAAAACCTCCAAGGAAGGAGAGTCTATCATCTTTCCACTGTTCTAGTTACAGGTAGGTAGCCATGTTGGTCTGCTGTAGTCAAAACAAAATAAAATAAATAATAAAAAACAACACAAAATTCTTCCAGTATCATCTTAGAGACCAACTAAGTTAGTTATTGGTATGAGCTTTTGTGTGCATGCACACTTCTTCAGATTCACTGAAACAGAAGTCACCAGACCCTTATATATAGTGAGAGGGGGGGAGGGATACTACTCAGAAGGGTGGTGGGAATGGGTAATTGGCTGATAGATGTGGTGAATCACCCATTCCCACCACCCTTCTGAGTAGTACCCCACCCTCCCACTATATATAAGGGTCTGGTGACTTCTGTTTCAGTGTATCTGAAGAAGTGTGCATGCACACAAAAGCTCATACCAATAACTAACTTAGTTGGTCTCTAAGGTGCTACTGGAAGGATTATTTATTTATCTTTCCACTGTCAGCTCTCAGAAAGTTCTTCCTGATGTTTAGTTGGAATCTCCTTTCTTCTAACTTAATGTTTGATATTTTATTTTTATGTGTGTTGGAAGCTGCCCAGAGTGGCTGGGGCAACACAGCCAGATGGGTGGAGTATAAACAAATTAAAATTATTATTATTATTATTATTATTATTATTATTATTATTATTATTATTATTTTAAGCCATTGGTTTGGTTCCTAGCCTATGGAGCAGGAGAAAACAAGCTTGCTCCATCTTGCATATGACAGCACTTTAGATATTTGAAGATGGCTATCATATTTCATCTCTGTCTCCTCTGGGCTAATATAAACTATTTGCTGTGTGAATGGCTTTCTTTTATCTGTCAATTTCATTGTACGCTCACGAGTTGTAGTGTTAAGAGACAGGGACGAAGACTCCCTCTATAAATGCTACACGTTATTATCTGTTTCATTTGTCTACTGCTTATAACTAGTAGCAGGGGTTTTTTTGTTCGTTCATTTTAAACGTGTTGTTCATGAAAAAATGTGCAGAGAAGTTTTCCCCTGCTCCAGTTTGCAATACATGGCATCACTCTTGGCAACAGCATTTCTTACCACCATCCCGCCCATGGTGTCGCAATGTTCTTGCTTGGGGAACACAAAAACCTGACACCAGAAGAGGAGATGAAATTAAAATAACATTCTGTCCTATCCTCAGCATGCCAAAAGAACTAGGAGACAGTTCCAGGATGGTCACTGTGCCACAGACAGAGAAGGGGCACTCAACTTCTTCACAGGACTTCTGAACTTTCCCCCTGCTGCATTTTCTGCCCCAGCCACAAAGCATGTCACTGGGCCTCTGTTGTGCCTTGCCAGGAAATAGTGTGGCATAGTGGTTAGAGTGCCAGATTAGGACCTGGGAGAGACCAGGGTTCAAATCCCACCCCACACACATGGCCCTAAAGCTCACTGCGTGACCTTGGGACATAACCAATGTTTCTCTCCGCTTAGCCTACCTCACAGGGTTGTTGTGGGGATTAAATTGGGAGGTGGAGCTCCTAGGAGATAAATGTGAGCTATAAAGGCAATAAAATGTAACTGAAATGTGATCTGAGCAGCCCAGGAGCAAAACCAGGTGGGAACGTTGCACAGGAAACTCCAATGCTCTTAGACTTGGATACATAGAATTGTAGAGCTGGCAAAGACCCCAAGGCATAGCTGTCAACGTTTGCCTTTTTTTAAGGGAAATTCCCTTATTCCGAATAGGATTCCTCGCAAGAAAAGGGAAAAGTTGGCAGCTATGCCCCAAGGATCATCTAGTCCAATGCAGGAACCAGAGCTATTCTTCAATGGAATGTCATTCTGAAATGGAACTGAAATGCACTCAGAGAAGCCCAGGAGCCAAAAGGCAAACTACAGTGGAAGGTGATGCAGCAAAGAGACTACACAAATACCCACTGCAGAATAAAGAGAAAGAGAACAGTATTATATTTTTAAATGGTCATATATTTTCTTTTACTTTTTCTTAAACATTTCTAATACATTTGTTCAAAATACTGGCATTTCCAGCAGATTTTTTAAAAAATTCATTTTATTTTTTTAGTGAACAATAATACACGGTAGTGATTTCACAGTAGAGCAGACCTGCAGGATAATGCTTTTGGAGTGGGGAGAGGGTGGGGAGAGGGTTGGAGGGGTTTCAACGAAAGGCCATGTTTTGTATTTTGCTTCCCCCCGCCCCCCGCCCCCCCAGAGTAGCAAGGTGCAGGGAGGGTTAGATAATTTTTCTTATATCAAAATTCACTTGTTCCAAATTGGGCGTGGGAGGGAGAAGAGATTTTGGACGGAGCCATTTCAAGAAGGCCCTTTCTCTTTCCTCCATACAGGGCTGTGTTGGTGGCTGGTTCAATCAAGAGGCATAGAACAAATTCTATAAAAGCAGAGAGAGAAACACACACCGCCTCCTCCCCCCACCCCGCTCCCCAGAAAAAGAAAACAAATCCCCCAAATAATCTAGGAATATGCAAGGGATAAAGTTACATCTGTACAAAAATAGATATTTAGCTTTATTGACGCTTTAGATATTCCGCTCACCTTCTCTCACTCTTTTTCAACATTTTCATGTTTTTGTTTTTTTCCCTGTAATCCTTTCTAAACTTTTCTTTCTTTAAAAAAAGTTATGCACTCCTTAGCGAAGGCATCATTGTCCCTAACTGATGGGAACTTATTGAGCTATTGTTCAACACACCTGCTGCTGCTGCTGCTGCTGACCTCCCCCCTCTTTAAAAAAAAAAAGCATCTTAAAATAGATGCAATGTTTTTCTTCCCTTTTCAAAGATCCAGTATTAGTGACCACCATGTTTTGTGGCAGCAGGAACGGGGCAGGGAAGGATGGGAGGGAGGTTCCCACATAAAATCCCACTTGCTCCCACAAAGCAAATTTTCTTTAAAAACTTGAAGAAAATACAAGAAAGTTTCATTAAAAAAAAGAGAGATCTGAGGACACATTGGTAACACTAAGAAGTGGGTATAACATATGTATATTTGAATGGGGGGTATTTATACAGTGTATATATCTACACAACACACGTGCATAAACACACACATGTATCAACTTAAAAAACAAAAAAAGGATTCATGCAATCTTGTTCTAGACGTGGGGACGTCACCAGCCTGTCCACCTGTCCTGGGGAAATGGGGTGTCCTCAGGTGCCCTGACCGAACACAGCCAGAGGGAAATATTAGACCCTCTGTTTGTGGCTATACCAGAATAAGTTCAGGGCAACTTTGGGCTCCCCCCCCCCCCCGGAACTGCAAAGTGAAGGATCCCAGCAGACGGAATGAGGAAAGGGGCTTTATTAAGCAGGAGTATATCCCGTAACAGGTCACACAGAATTTGCAAAGCAGGCTTCCTCAGCCTCGGCCCTACAGATGTTTTGAGACTACAATTCCCATCATCCCTGACCAATGGTCCTGCTAGCTAGGGATCATGGGAGTTGTCGGCCAAATACATCTGGCGGACCGAGGTTGAAGAAGCCTGACCAAGAGTCAACTGCTTCAACCCCCTATTATGCAGGAACCCCATCTTAAATAACCCCAGACAGGTGGCCATCCAACCTCTTGTTTAAAAATCTCCAATGAAGGGGAGATCCACTACCTTTCACAGCATGGAGCTTTTTGTCAGAAGAAACGTGTAGAAGGCTTTGCTTTTTTTCACATGCTCTGGATCAGCAGTTCCAAACGTGGGTGGTACTGCCCCCACTCTCGTTTGCTGTGAGACTCCCTAGGATGCTAAAAGCCAAGGGCATGAAACCCCTTCTTCACTTCGCATTTAAAACTTTCTGCTCTTATAGCTTTCAAAGCTATTTCCTTTGGTCGTGTTTTGTTTGTATTTATGATTCTGAGTTGTCACAGTTATTGGCAATAGTTATTTCTTTTCTTATAAATCAGTTACCTGTAGCAGGTGAAGGTTTGCGCATGTTTGGTAAGTCCTTATATATAAATATTTTATGGTATAAATCTCCTTCACCCTTAAAGTTTTCATTAGTAAGAATGTGTAGAAAATATTTCTCATGCAATATTCTTTGCTGTGTGTGTGTGTGTGTGTGTAATTGAGATGCCAGATTAGATCAGAGCATATATTCACTTTTGCATATATATTTAATAAATCTGCAACTAATTGCTATTGTTTTGAATTTTAGTCTTTTATTACCTTACTTTGTGAGTTGTGCAAACCGCTATTCTGAATAATGCTTTACTCACTGGGGATGAGTTAATGGAACCCAGGGGGCAGACCCCCCCCCCCAAGTTTAGGAACCACTGCTCTAGGAGGGCAGGGCTGTATGCAATCACAGGCCAACTCAGGGCTGACCCACTGAAACTAATGGGCCTATGCTGGGTAGAACTTAACTAGAGAAGACAACCCCTGGCCGTCTCCTGCAAGTCCGATACTGCAGAAGTCTATGGTACACAGTGATGCTTAATGAAACCGTTCCCTCTGTTGCTTGGAACCATCCACTTCACACCAGTAGCCCATCACTTCAAGGAAGGCACAGTCTAATTTAAAGATGGATGCTTCTGGGTAAGTGAACCTCACCCCTCCCCATTCAGGTGGGAGTGAAAAGTAGTGTTGACCTGGGCATCAGTGGATGCCATCTGATTAATGTCTCCAAAGGCTCTTTATTATGGTCTTCCATTATAACATTTTCCTTTAGAAACCAAGCATTACCTCACTGGCAATGATTTCTGACTCCTTACAGATGACTTTGACATACGGCGAAATCCCTAGCTAATACGAAATGACACAGGTGAGAAAGGTGGGTCACCTGTAGGGTCCCGTTATTATGCTAGGAAAACCTCATAAAAGCCCCAAACAGTGAAGGCAAATGCAAACAAAGGAGTCATCAGGGATGTCTGCACATGTTCTACAAGTGCACAATCTCTGGGCTGTTTCCAAAGTTGCGCTGAGTAACCTGTCCCATTGGTGCAAGAATTTTCACCCGTGTAATGGGGCTTTTCCCACTCTCCTCCCCCCTTTGTGTCGCTAAATCTGTTTTAGGGGGTCCCCCCTACCTCCTGAAGCGCATCTGGGGAGAGTGGGGGTGAAGTCTTGTTGCCTGAGCAGAAACCCTGGTGTTGATAGATACGACTCTGCATACAGAGCAATACACTGGTAACATTATTCACACGCAGAGTTTAGTGAGTGTACAGTATGTTTATGCAGCAGTTGAGCTGAACAGACCAACAAACTACGCACTCTTTCACACAGGGACACTCATACAGCTTGTATGCTGAATGCAGGTAATGTGTGAACAAGCACACTAAAGTCCATTGATTCAAGGCTGCAGGGGTCAACCTCTGCAGGGCTTTGGGCATGACCTCTGCCATGATTGAAACTGCAGGTGGTGGCCCCAAACTGTAAGATGCAAGTGGCCTTCTGGTGCAGATTGCTTGAAGAATCAGAAACTGCCCTATGGCTCCCAGTGCTTTTAAAACTGGAAGGGTATGCACAAAGCAACGTCATTCTGGCACAATATTCATCATTGGTACTCACAAACAGAGCTGGATCAGGGAAGGCATACCCTAATACACTCCAGTGAATAGCAAAGACCAAACCGGATGCAGTGGAAAGATTCTCACAAATACCCTGAGCCAAAATAAAACTCTTAAATGTATGTTGGAGGCTTAGAACTCCAAATAAAGTGTCCCTCTTTTTCTTATTTTGCTCTCAAAGAGTTTGGACATTGGGTTCTTCAGACCTGACCCTGAAATTCAGCTGCCACAAAGCAAATCAGAGGGCAGGTGTTAAAGGATGTTGCTCTGGCTCAATGACTGAGCTCGCAAGACAGAGCAGGAAAGGAAGGCAGTCAGCTACCAAGACCTCAAGGGAACGGAACACATTTCTTTTCTATTTGATACCCTCTGGAATGAGTGTTTTGTTGGCAAAGGGTTTCCAGAGGGGAAATTGGTTGAGGTGGCATTTCCAAGGATCTTCTCCCCTCCCATCTTGCCTGCTGCAATCAGCCACATTTTTCGGCTGGTGGGGGGGAGTGGTGGCTTTGCAAATAGGTCTTCTGAAACCCTAGGGCAGACTCTTGGGAGCATGGAAGGATGGATGGGAGAATGGGTGCCAAGGGCGTAAAGGAAAGCAGGGAGAGAGAACGAGAAAGGATTTGGTGAAGAAGAGGAAAAGAATAATCAGGATGCAGTGATATCAGAAGGCATCTATTTAAGGGCCACCTTAAAGTGGCAACAGGGCCTGCTGAGTGTTGCAGAATATTTATAGAACATGCAAGGCGTATATATATATATATGCAAATGAGCATCTCAGGGAACCTCCTGGGTCTGAGCCATCTACACACTTCACTCTTGGCCTGGACCAAACTTGCTAATTAATTGCCACTTCCCTCTACAAAATTGCTGGAAATCTAGTCCAGCATCCCGTTCCCTGAGACACAATTCCAAGCAGGTGTTTGAAACCCTAAGGACTTGGTGTTGTTATTAAAATTGCCCACCTAGGGTTCAGTGTCTGCCTGACTGCCTGCCAGGGATTGCTTGATGCACTTGGAACACTGCTGGGTTATCAAGGCCAGTTTTAAAAAACGGCAACAGAGAGTGCTGATATTAACAGAGGTGAGTGTTGTTTTTTAAGGGAGTTGGGTGGGGAAATCCCACTGAAAACAGACAAGGGGAAAGTGCTTAGAGGACTTGCAGCATTGACTGCCACAGCTTTAAAGCAGCCTTTGTGCATTTCGGCTGGTTTTGCAGTTTGAGCGGCTCACTCAGTTACCAAGAGAAAGTCATCTTTGGACGAAAAGCAAAGAAAATGGCCACACACACACACACGCCATGCGCAGAACAAGAATGACCTGTGCTGTATAGCCCAAATCCATAACCCTTCCCACACAATTTACAGATGGCTTCAGAACAAGGTCGGGCAAAAGGTAGCTCAGGGTCCACAGACAGGCAATTGGATTTGAAACTGTAAGGACTAGAAACTTGCTCTCTTAAAAAAAAATATCCACCAAATTTGCAGCAAACTGACAAGAGTTTTTGACACCTGGAGGTCTTAAGAACTGAAAGTATCACCCCTTCTGAATTAGGACACCGGAAAGGTGTGGTGATGAGAAGTGGGGTTTTATGACAAAGTTCTTGTGACCTTGGTTCTGGTGCTGCTTACAAACCGCTGGGCTGAGCACATGCACAAAGTGGGCACCCTGTTCCTTAATTCTTAGAACATGTCTTCCCACCTGAGTCACTGGTGCAAAGCCCACCCAGCCCAGTGCTAGAAAACCTGGACCCCATTTCCCTTTTGAGATGCTAAGAGAGCAATTTTTTGCTTTCTTTCGTTGCAGCTTGGAGGCAGGCAAAACAACAAATAATAGGATTTGTGGGGTTGGAAGGGACCCCAACCCCTGCAAAGGCTTCCATTCTCCAAAATGTCCGTCTGCAACGAAGCAAATTAAATTCCCACACACGGCAACAAGTGTGTGTGTGTTTGTGTGTTGGGGGAGCTGACAACCAAAACCACACACGTGAGGCAGATAAGTTTGTGCGAGGCAGGGGGTGGGCTCAGATTTACAGCTTGCTATGAAATCCACCTAGGCCTGTGGAAACAGTGGTGGTGGTGGAGGAGGAAAGTGAACAGCGGTGGGGGCAGGGTGCATTTTCGCACATTCAAAAAAATCAACAACAGCCATTTTTGCCTCTGCACCTGTGAGAGGGACAGCAAACGGCTATTGTCAGATCCCCGAGATGCACAGAGAGAGCGTGAGAAACGGCTGAAGGGTTGAGTCAACGGTGTCACAGAAGGAAGATGGTAGGCTGCCTCTCGCACATGCCAGGGAGAAACGGGGGCACACGTTGGCAGTAGAAGGGGAGGCGTGGTGGTGGTGGCATCGGCGAGCCCGCCGGGCAGGAGAAGAAATGGGACCAACCCCGTCTGCTTTCTTTAAGTCATTTGGTGGGGAGCCTCCAGCATCTCCATCAGGAAGGTGTCGATGGGAGTGTCCCCTATTAGCTTGAAGAAGAAGAGGTGCTCCAGGCATTTGAGGCCAATGGACCGGAGGGCAGGGAGGCGGAGCAAAAGCTTGGCGAACCTAGAAACGTAATAGAAAGACAGATGGCAATTAAGGGCACGGGAAGAGGCAATCACAGCAACACAGCCATGTGAATGTTGACACTGCCTGGCGGTGGCTCTCAAGGGCTTCTGGCCCAGGGTCTTTCCAGCTGGGATCTTCTGCATGCGAAGCAGATTCTCTACCCCTGAGCTACAGCCCCTTCCCCTGAAAATAAAGTAAAATTCTAGTTCTCATGGTTTCAGATCCTCCAAGTGCCCCTGTTTTCCAGGGACAGACCCCATTTACAGAAGACATCCTGGTTTGATTCCGGAATGTCCCCTTTTCCCTTAGCGCACTCCTAATGTTGGAGGGCATGGAGTTATGTGGCCTGCATGTCAAGGAGGTAAGTAACTATGCAACCTTTAGAAGACACCTGGAAGTTTATTTTAATGCTTAATGTTTTATTATGTTTTTATATGTGTTGGAAGCCACCCAAAGTGGCTGGGGCAATCCAGTCAGATAGGTGGGGTATAAAAAAATAATATTATTATTTTTATGGAATAGGACTTCCCTATTTTCATCGGAGAAATGTTGGAGCGGATGTCATTCTGACTTAAGGGATTGAACCTGTGACCACCAGTTCCACATAACAAATATTTATGGGAGCCCCCCACCCCACCCCACTTCTTTTCCATTGGTAGCCCCCGCTTGCAAAATCTGGGGCTTCCAGTGTGTGTCAGAACCAAAATCACTAATGGGGGGAAAGGAAAACAGTGGAGGGGAGGCCCCCCCCCGCCCACCTCCCCTCCAAATGCTGAGTTGGCAAAGTACACCTCCGAGATGGAAGCCAGGAAAATACAAATCAAACCCTGCCACTCTCTTCCTCCCCCAGAGGAAAACCTAGAAAGTTTCGCTTTTAAACTAAACCAGATGATGGATGTTCAAGGAGCATTTTAACCATGAAAGAGCTGACTCGGAGGACAGCAGGGATAAAGGAAGCCCAAGGATGGGAGGCGGATTTCAGTTTGGAAGAGGAAAGCTTCCTAGGACCACATGTCTACTGCTGTGCCAGAGGAATGTGTCTTATGCTGACCCATCTAGCTCAATATTGTCCACACTGACTGGCAGCAGTGGATCTCCAGGGTTTCAGGCAGGGAGTCTTTCACAACCCTACCTGGAAATACTGCCAATGACTGAACCTGAAACTATCCAAATGCAAAGCATTTTCCCATTGAGCTATCACCCTTCCCCTGAACATACTAGCCCTAATGATTGTGAAGAACAGGCTGAATTAAATAGGAACCTAGGGATCTGCCTTATACGGAATCATATCACCGGTCCACACTGAGTGGTATTTGCTCTTCAGGATTTCAGACAGGCACAGATTCAAAGACTCACCTCCCGGGCTGGTCAGGGTATTTCTGTTTACAGTAGGCCTCAAGTGACGCATACACTTTCTCGCGCAGGGCCTCGACTTCAGCAGGATTGGAAAGCCCTTTTGAGTCTGCAGTGGGACAGATGAAAGGCCTTGAAATCTGGGCAAAGGCAGAGGGCTAGAAGCACACACATTTTAAAGCTGAGGAAAGGCATATCTTGAGGACTGGAGGCATGCACATCTTAAGGAGTGAGGGGATATTTTAAAGCTGGGGAAAGGCTTTCCTGAGGACTAGAGGCACACATGTTTTAAGGGAGACACTTTCTTTTTGTAACCAGCAGGTGAATTCAGCTCTGAAGACCAATTCGGTTCTTAACAGGCTTTGGAAAGTAGATATACCATCCATTTCAGGGATAGAGTCGTAATCTGAAACTCGGGGTTGTGTAGGGGGAGTGGGAGGAGGAAAGCAGAAACAGGCTTGAGAGGATTAAGTTATTCCTAAAGCATATTTCCTGCAGCACCACTCCACTCAGTGGATTTCATAACTTTGCAAATCCAATTACTATGAATACATACAGGTTTGGGAGTCTGATTAACCCAGTGAGTGTTCTGGTCTTGAAAGGAAGTGCCCCACAGGAATCAAAGAATCATGGAGTCAGGAGGGACCCCTAAGGATCATCTAATCCAACCAACCCCCTGCAGGAATACTGCTCACAGCCACCCCTGGGTGGACTTGAACCACCAACCTTCTGGTTAACAGCCCATCATACGGACCTATTGTGCCACAGGAGGCTTAAGAGGGCCTGAGGAGCAACATGTTAGTGACATTCCAAAGATGGTTGTAACACCAACATTTTTCCCTCGGTAAGTCAACATTTCTTGACTTGGCCTGCTCAACACTGGTGGAAGTGCAACAGCAGGGATCATTTAGTTTGCAACTGAAGCCTTAACTTTGCTCATGTTAAAATCAGCTATGTTGTGAACTGCCCTGTGGTCTTTAGATGACAGGCAGTATTCAAATTATAAAAATTATAATCATAATTATCATAGCTAATGGGGATGCAAGGCGGTGTTGCTTAGCAACCAGGTTGGGCACAGTGTACCCTGATTGGCTGCGTAGTTCTGAGGGAGTTTTTCCTCTGTATGTTTGGTTGAATGTCTCCTTGTCAGGTACAAGGACTGAACTAAGAAAGACAAAACCTCTCGGTTCCTTTCTCCTGAAATGATACAGTACTTTTTGTTAGTTTTCCGCAGAGCTGTTTTTCCAGAAAAAGAGGTGACGGAACTCACCATGAGTGCCTCCTTTGTTCTCTTATAATGGCAATGGTGCCCACCTGAGAGGTGCTGGAAAGAAACCCTGGTTTCCCCCTCAATAAAGTGTTACCAATATATCTTGTCTCTCCTTTATTCAAGTGCCTTTGCTGAGGGGTGAGCAAGCAGTGTGTCCAGACTGCAGTCAAGAGAGGAACCATATCAGCATTCTTAAACTCAGATTTGGTTCCCCTCCAGAGCAGCCTCCCTGTTCCTGGAGCCCTGAGGGGAGATTCCTGGAGCCCAGGTGGATTCCCCCCGCCAATCAACAACCACCTCACCCTGCTGTAAAACTCAGCTGCTTGCTCTGGAACCTTGCTATGGCAACCTGGATATTTGGCCCAGCTCCAGGAACACAATCCGTAGCCCTGAACTCACCCTTTCATCTCCTTCCGAGGTGATGACCATGACCGTGGCCTCTGCCTGCGGAACCAGGAATAGCTAGCTACTCCTTTTTATTTTTTTTGTAATGTTATTACATTTATATCCCATCTTTCCTCTAAGAAGCCCAAGGTGGCATACATAGTTCTCCTCCTCCTCATGTTAAACACACAACAACCCTATGATTTAGGGTAGGCTGAGAGTGCATGACTGGCCCAAGGTCACCCAGGAAGCTTCATGGCTGAGTGGGGATTCAAACCCTGGTCTCCCAGGATCTAGTCCAATACTCTAACCACTACACCGCGCTGACTCTCCTTGCTTGGGCCATCACTCCTCCTTGGGGGTCAGCATCCCCAGTGGTTTGTGGCACCTGCTCCCAGGGTATTCCTTCTTGCTCTCTCCTAGGAACTAGTCTGTTCACTTAGATCTGGCCTCAGAGGCCCTGCTCTGGGTTCCCCCACCCCTCAACCCTGAGATAAGTCGGGCGGCCTGTGGCCCATGAAAACGAAGCCTCCCTCTAACTCAGAGTGGAAACCTCAATTGAAAAGGGGTCCCCTATCCTGCAAGGACAACCGAACCTACCAGGGTTGAAGAGGACAATGGCTCGGAGACACCCCAGTTCTGTTTTATCCATCTGCATATCTCTCATTTTTGATACGAGTTCTGTCAATACTCTGCAAATAATAAATAATAATAATAATAATAATACAGTCACTTTAAAGACTTCTGAGCATGTGTTCATCTATTTGCTTTCAGCAACCCCCTTGAAATTTTGGCATTTTAAGCCAAGTCTAGCTCAGACTTCCTTTGACTAGTCTCTTCAGATTCTCCCTTTCAGCGGTCAATGGCATGACTTGAAACGCTTGTATTTTCAAGCCTGCTGTTTACTCAGATCATCCTGCTCAAACAGTTAGGTCATCAAGCAGGAGACCCTCTTACGGGTGCCACACACCCTGAATTCAGTGAGCACTCAGGGCAGAGCTTTCAGTGTGGCATCACTTTGGAAAATGTTCCCCTTGGAAATTAGGATGGGGCCAACAATATGTTCTTTCAGGTGCCTCCTTGCGAGTTTATTTTCCCCAGTCAGCCAGGCATCTTCAGGGTTACATTGTTGGCTATTGTTCATGCTAGTTTTAAAGACGGACCCAGTGTTTCCTTTCTTTGTATAATATTTTCAAATGGTGGTGGTTTACAAATCCTTCAAATTCTGTCCTTTTGCAAACTGCTTAGAGGCTTCCTGTTGAGGAAGTGGCATACAATTTCTCTTAAAATAATATTCGTCTTAAACACAGCACAGCATCCAACAACCTTGTTCGGTTAATATTGGCACTTGCACAACAGAACTTTCCCTCCCACTCCTCTCCCTGCATGCACCCTCCACCCAATTCCCTCTCCTCTCCCTGCATGCACCCCCCCCCCCCCCAGTTCTGCTCTGGAAGGTTGGGAGAACCCCAGAACAGACTTAGAATTTCCATTGCCCTAGCAGAAATCCTTGCTCTAACAGAACGCAGGACTTAACACTAATCTGGATACAAGCCAGCAACCCTAGCTTGGTTTTGGTTTGAAGAGCAATTGGTTCAATTTGGGGGTGGGTAGAGAAAAGAAGAAGAGTGAAGTAATCAAAACTGAAGCTGTGATCCCTTATTCACCTTCCCCACCCCCCATGGCCCCGAATCCTCACCCTTCCTGATCTCCAAACAGTTTTCTCTCACCTGTCAAAGATGGCACCAACGCCTGCACTGTGAGCACTGTTCCGATGGACGTGGAGACCTGTGGCAAGGAGGATCCCATCTTTCACAGCTATGGACCGGTGTGAGAAGGAGGCAATGAGCAACTCATTCCAACCTGCAGTGAAATAAATGGAGAGGAGGCTGTGAAGTCTACTAGAACAGATCACGAGATAAAACTTTGTCCAAAAACCTTTCGGCCCCTTTTTAGAGATACAATCTGAGTAAAGTGGTGATGCTTAGAATAACAGAATTGCAGAGTTGGAAGGGATCCCGAAGGGTCCAACCTGCTGTAGTGCAGGAATCCCAAATAAAGAATCCCTAACAGGTGGCCATCCAACCTCTGCTTAAAAACCTCCAAAGAAGGAGAGTCCACCTGACAACTTAAAAACTATGAGGCTGTATCCAAGCGTTAGTCCTAATCAGAGCAGACCGCTGAAATCCATGGACCCAAGGTAGCCTTGTCCATGAATTTCAGTGGATCCGCTCTGACTATGACTAACATTAAATACAACCCATTACGACAGGTGTGTGGAACTTTTGCTGAACTACAAATCCCATTAGGCCCAGCAAGTGTGACCAGGGATGATGATGGGCATTGAGATATCTGGAGGGTAAAAGATTCCCAACACCTGCAATATGGCTCCAGGATGGGATGGTTTTACAGGAGAATTTAAAACAATTAAAATTTTAGCAAAACTTCTCTTGATTCTTATGGATGAGTTAATGCTATCCTACTGATTTCTGGAAAACAAATAGATGCTGACCAGGAAGAATAATCATCTCTCAAAACCTCACTAGTTATTGTCCCATTGTCCCATTTAAGGCCACATCAACACCATACATTTAAAGAACTTTGATACTACTTTAAATGACTTCCCCAAAAAATTTCTGGAAGCTACAGTTTCTTAAGAGTACTGAGAGTTATTAACAGAGCCCTATCCACCTGCTGAAAGTGGGACAGGCATGTAACGCCAAAATCACATAAAGTCATACCTCATGTTACGGACGCTTCAGGTTATGTGTTTTCAGGTTGTGGACCATGGGAAACCCAGAAGTACTGGAACAGGTTACTTCCAGGTTTCGCCGCTCGCACATGCACAGAAGCGCTAAATCATGCTTCGCGCATGTGCAGAAGCGCCAAATCGCGCCTGCGCAGATGCAGCGCTTCAGGATGCAAACGCTGTGGGTTGTGGACGTGCCTCCGTCACGGATTATGTCCGCAACCTGAGGTTCCACTGTATAATCAAAACATATCGGGTGCCCCCTTTCTATTATTAATATTTTTTACTTTTTTGCCAGGTGAGTAAAGCTGAATGCACACAAGTTAAATCAGCGTAAGTTGCAAATTACATGTATCTTAGTGCTTCAAACGTATGGCGTGAATGTGGCCTAGATCAGGGCTTTGCCCTCCGTGCAGCTAGCACAGGGGATGCCCCCTGAAGCCATGAGCCATACTGAATTCCGTTCGTGCTAGAGGCACACGTGACACCAGCCACCTCTTTTAGCTAGGTTTTAACACGTCAATATTTCATGGGCAGGTGCTCTCCGCAGGCCACTCAATAATACATAAAGCCATTTGTTTGAAAGACTTTGAGTGGGTCAGCTGAGGCCTTTCCTGATAAAGACACTGGCAGGTTCCACTTGGGTGCAACCGATGAGCTCACGCCAGCTCGCCAAGTCAGCATTTTGCCTCCAGTGGTACACCACCCCACTCCCACTCTGGTGATCAAGCAAGTCCGTAATGAAATGCTTCCCTTCTCGACAAGCTGGGTGGCCACTGAAGGTTTGGGGGTCTCTGTGTTGCAAGAGATTCTGGACCAAAAAAAATCAGACTCATAGGGTTGGAAATGATCCCAAGGGTCATGTAGTCCATTTCCCTGCAATGCAAGAATTTCAACTAAAGAATTCAGGGCAGATGACCACCCAGACTCTGCTTAAAAACCACCAATGAAGGAGAGCCCACCATCTTCCGAGGGAGTCCGTTCCAGAGTCTAACAGCTCTTACTGTCAGAAAGTTCTTCCTGATGTTTAGTCGGAATCTCCTTTCTTGCAATTTGAATCCATTGGTTCGAGTTCTGCCCTTTGGAGAAGCTGAAAACAAGCTTGCTCCGTCTTCCATGTGACAGCCCTTTAGATATTTGAAGACGGCTATCATATCTCCTCTCATTCTCCTCTTCCCCATGCTAAATAGACCGAACTCCCTGAACTGTGTTTGTCCTGCTGCTCTGTGTATACAGTCATACCTCGGGTTACAGACACTTCAGGGTCTGTTTTTTCAGGTTACGGACTGCCAAAACCTGGAAGTACCAGAACGGGTTCCTTCCAGGTTTTGGCGGTTGTGCATGTGCAGAAGCGCTAAATCGTGCTTTGC